AGCGCCGCTCCAGGCTCTGAACTCTCTGCGAACGCTCTTGCACAGAAATAGAACGTGAGGCACACAGGCAGCTTCGAATGTGCTAGGAACCATATGAAAAACAAAAAGGGAAAAAGATACAGATGAAAGAGATTTCCTCTATGTCACTTACCCCAATATATCCAAAATAATATCAGTATTATTGTGCTCAATATTATTGTGATCAGTATTAATAGTCAGCATTTTTTATGTTAGGTCTCCGAAGTCTCAGGTCCCCCTCCCGTATTTGTAGGGCTCTCAGCCTCCGGAGCCCTGTGGCTACCGTATGGGAGAGCACAGGCCTGAGCTGTATTAATTCTGGGGGTGACCTGGTCAGGGCTCATTCCTCACCCCTGGAGGACAGCCAGCCAAGGGGGGGTGTTTTCACCACCTGGCCGGGCACAGCACAGCGCCTGCTCTAGGTGGGAGCTCAGTCACTGTCCCTGGGTGAATGAATGCCTGGGGGAGGGTCCCCAGCCCCTGGAGGAGAAATGGTGCCAAGAAATGTGTGGATCTCCAAGCTCCTGGGACTTGAGGAAGTCCAAGAATTTGGCCCTCGATTCCCTTTTTTTCCTCAGCTCTGTGCCATTACGGAAACCAGGGCAGCTGTGGGTGAGTTTCTTGGAGCTAACATTCATGTATTCACTCCTTTTCAACACCAGTATCAGTGTGAGGTCGGGGGAGAGAAAATAGAAAAGACAGAAGAGAGAGAATGAGGGAGAAAGAGAAGAAAAAAGTTTAAAAATACCCAAACGAGTTAGGAATTTTTGTGGCTTTCCATAGTATGTTCCTAACTTTCAAAATATATAAATACATGGAAACACTCCTTTCAAAAAATAAATAAATGCTAGATGAGTGGCTGGATGATAGAAAGAAAGGCAAGCCTGAGTGTGTGTGCAGGAAAGGGAGGCAGGCAGGACATCAGCGGAAACAAAGGAAGGTGTTTCGCCTCCCGCGACTTAATTTCATCCCCTGGCTTGTTTCACCATAAGCACTTATTAGCTCATTAGTCTGTTCATTCCAGAATCATTCCCCGAGCACTTCATGGAAGCTGGGCATCTGCTGGGTGCTGGCGTTTTCACGGCTGAGCGAGGGACTAACCTCCCTCTCGCTCTCTAATCCTGTTCTTGTTCTTGCAGAACAAGTGTGAAAATGGATGGAACGTGAGCAGGTCCCATCGCCATGAAGGTGGCACACATACCCCCTCCCCACCGCCCTGGACTGCACCCCTGCTGCGCACCAGACAGGGGTTGATGTTGGGGTTCAGTGAGTGGGGTCCTGGGTTTCCGAGGAAGAGACGCTGCAGAGACAGAGGCGGCCACCTCGGACCAGAACTGCGTTTGCCAGGGGAAAGCGTATCTTCATGCAGTGTTCTTGGGAGGATTCGTCCCTTTGTGGAACTCCATCTATTTACGGTGAAATCTCGCTTTGGAGACCTGTGTGGGTTCACCTGTAAGGACTGGTGTTTCTTTGCAGGAACTACACTTCTGCAGGCCCCCACCTCTGGTCTTTGCCTAGCGATCATCTGTGACGGGTTTTGTGACTGGATAGCTGGGTCCGCTGCTGGATCTGAACTTGCTTTCACCCCCACGCCGGTATCTCGGGGCCCTGAGCTACATGCCAGATGGCAGCGCCTTATGTCCGCCTAAGGGGCAGGTGGAAGGTGGAGTCGTAGCTCAGCGCTGGGCACTTTAAATTGGAGAGGCCAAACCCCAGCAGAAGTCACCGCGCAGACAATCAGAGGTGCCTCCCTTTCTTTCACGGAAGATGGGGCAGGGCCTGAGAGGAGACACTGTCGCTGCTTGAGTAGGCATTGACTACACGGTGTCCCTCGAGGAGGTCTAAGTTTTTTTTTTGTTTGTTTATTTTACAAAAGTTTACTTTTACATCATTTTGTACATTTTTTTCCCATCTCAATTGTAATCCCCGCGGGTTTCCCATCACCAAATCACCCGTGTGCCATCACCATAGTCCCGTGCATTTCCCCCCCCCCCCCCCATTTTTGATCCCATTCCCCACTCCACCCCCACAAAATGTCTCTGGTATATGGTTGTTCATTATTCTTGTTATTTTCTCGCCTGGTCTATTATACTCCTGCTATGAGTGAAACCATCCGGTATTTTTCTTTCTCTTTCTGGCTTATCTCACTAAGCATGATCTTTTCCAGCTCCATCCAACTTGCTGCAAAAGACAAGTGTTTCTGTTTTTTGGTTGCTGAGTAATATTCCTTTGTATACATGTACCACATCTTTTTAATCCAGTCATCTACTTTTGGGCATTTGGGCTGCTTCCATGTTTTTCCAATTGTAAATAAAGCAGCAATAAACATGGGGGTACAGGTATCTTTTTCAATCAGTGTTTTTTTGTGTCTTTTGAGTAGATACCTAGGAGTGGGATTGCTGGGTCGTAGGGAAGCTCCATGTTTAGCAGTTTGAGGAACCTCCAAACAGTTTTCCATAGTGGTTGTACTAGTTTGCATTCCCACCAGCAGTGCAGGAGAGTTCCTTTTTCTCCGAGGAGGTCTAAGTTTTAAAAATAAAAACAAAGCAAGCTGACCGCCGTTCCCAGCTCACTGCCTGTCTGGCTTCTCGTTGTCTTGAGTGGGGTCCTGGGTGAGGCCTGGGTTTCCTGGGAAAGCCAGGTGTCTGCAGAGCACCTTCTAGAGGAGGGGGCTGTTGCAGGAGGCGCTGCGGGGGAGAAGGAGCTGAGTTCCCTTTTCCAACTACATCACCTCCAGTGTGTCTCTTCACTCTGTGTTTTCCTCCTTGCCCACCCTCCCCCAGGCCTCGTAAGGAGCAAGTGAGAACATTGATGTCACCTCCCATCCATCACTGAAACTAGCACGAGAGGGTCTGCTCAGTACAAAGCAAGGCAAGGAAATAAGATGCAAACAGGTCAAGAAGGATTTAAAAAGGACCGCTTATTTTCAGATATCATTGTGTACATAAAAAATCCCAAGGAACTTACAAAAATAAAAAATGTCCAAGAATTAGTTCCAGAAACAAGACCAATGACATACCTATATAATCTATAAACCACTAAGACAAAAAAATACAGTACTATTTACAATCACTAGGAAAAAAATACTTTCATGTAAATTTAACAAAACCCATCCAGGGCTTATATGCTGAAAATGACACGACAATAATTAAAAAAAATAATGAAGATAGAAATAAAAGGAGAGGTATATTGTGTTCATGGATTGAGAGACTCAAAAGGAAGTGATTTCCCCTCCAATTTGATACATGAACTTAACATAACTCCATTCCAGCAGGTTATTTTTTTATGCAGTGGAGATTATTTTGAAAAGTATTCAAGGCAAAAACAACACTAAAACACTTTTGAAATAGAAAAGTAGGAGGAACAAGTCTACCCAAGTTCAAGATTTATCCTGTAACTACAATAACCACGACTGTGATATCAGCAAAGAGACTGACACAGGTCACTGGAGAAAAACGAAGACCCGCAAAGACACCCACAAGCATGATGGGCTGATTTTTTTTTTTAAAGATTTATTTATTTGTGGTACAGGCCAGAGGCTCATGGGCCGTGAGAGGCTTCACCAGTGATTTTTGAGACAGATGTAAAATGCAGCTCAGGAAACAGTCTTTTCACTGGTCCTCACCTGTGAGCAAGTCTCATCCCTGAAAGGCAAATGTACTCAATATGGCTCATGGACCTGAAAGTGAAACAAAGGCTGTAAATATTTTAGAAGAAAACCTCCAGGACCCACAGTTTGAGGGTTTACATGTGACACCAAAGGCACAATCCATAGACAGAACATTGATCATCAGAGTTCACAAAATTTGAAGTAGCTCTGTCAGGCGAGAAGCATTCTACCTCCTCTCACCCTCCTGTTCTATCGGGTCCTCAGGGGAGATTCAGCGTCACCCAAGCACGTTGGGAAGGGCCATCTGCCTTACTGCATGTCTCAGTTCAAACGCACACCTCTTCCAGAGAGACCCTCACAGCAAACCCAGCCGTGACCTGCTTTCTGAGCGTCCTACGCCCAGCCCAGCTGCACATAAAATTAACCATCCCATAACTAAGTCCGAGTAGCCTTAGTGTGGGAATAAAGGAACAAGCAACGCAATCAATAAATGACCCCAAACCAAATGCACACCGAGAGGGAACCGGAAGTCGGTGTTGCAGTGTCGTGAGAAACAGTGGGTTGGTGAACGCAGGAGCTGGGATCATTGATGGTCAATGTGAAAAAATGAAATTGCTTTCTAACCCTCTACCAAGAGACCTGCAAAAACGGTTGACATATAAAATAAAAATGTTTTTGCATACTTGTTTGACATACAGGGAAGATTCTAACAAGCGCATAAAGCACAGGGTGGCAAGCCGCAGGCTGCGTAACTGAGGAGGCACCTTTCACAGCCCAGTCTGCTATTAGCCCTGTGCGGTTCGCCTTTGTTAGCGACACCCCGCCTGATGCATGGTCTCATTTAAGCTCCAGGTTCCATTCCCTTGGTTTTTCAAATGAGGAAACTTAGGCTCCAAAAGGTGTGCACTCATCCAAGTCACAAACAGAGCAGAGCTAGGATTTCAACTCCGGCACGCAAAGTCCTGAGCGGACCAGACTCTGGACATGACTTGGTGAGGAAAGCGGGGTCACTCTAGTCCTCGGCCTGGGAGCAGTTGTGCCAGTCCCAGGACAGGGCTGCTCTCCACCTTGCAAGGCCGGGATCCACAGCACCCAGGAGGCCCATCACCCCAAACTCTCGGTCCAGGGAGGTTCCGCCCACGGACCACTGCGTCACCTGGGCCCTCGCCTCGCTGGCACGCCCACGCAAAGATGCCCGGCCAGCTCTCAGGGGTTCTGCCCGCCCCGCCCCCGGGGTTGGGAGTGGTCACGTGGTCACGTGGCGGGGCGCCCAGTTTCCCCCGGGCCCCGCCCCGCGCCCACCCCGCCCCGCCCCTCACTGGGCCCCTGGCGGCTGAGGCCGGAGCGCGGCCAGCTGGGGGCGCCTGGCGGGTTCTCGTCGCGCCTCTAAGCTCGGGCTGGTGAGGTCGGCGCCGCCACCCACGCCGCGCCTGCTCCCGACTCGAGGGATCCCAGCCCGTGGCGCGCGCGCTGGGCCCGCAGCAGCAGCAGCAGCGAGGACCGAGCGCCCCGAAGCAGCATCACCATGGATTTGTCCTTTATGGCCGCGCAGGTAACGGGGCGTCTCTGTCTTGGTGGTGAGCCCAGGGCCGCCAAGTTTGGAGAGGTTCGCGGCCGCGGTCTCGCCTGCCGGGCCGGGCTGGGGGAGGGCTCCGGCCAGGCGGTGCGCTCTCGGGCACCCAGCCCCCCAGTCCTTTGTCCGGCGCGGGCTTCCCACCTGGTGCGCGCCTCCGGGG